TAATGATTGTCTAGAGTTAAACTGAGGTACGTTATATTTAATACGCTATACAAGATCTGGACAATCAATAAAATCATACATCAATTTATGAAGGAGCTCGAAACTGTCAGTGTCATGAAGTTTTAACAAAAGATTATATTACCATTCATAGAGATCTTGATATCCCATATCTAAGGGATTATGTAAAACAACAGGCGCAGCGGCGTTATAATCAAGCCGAATCGCACAGCAACCCTCCGTTCAGTAGACAACACAGTCGAGCAAGTTCGCAAACATTCCTGGCCGTGCCTCGCACTGTGATTAAAATTAAATTGTAAATTCAGACCAGCCAAAATTATATCAGTATACAAAACCGATCAAAATTATTTTTTGGAGCTACAAAATAATTCGAGTAGTCAAAGCAATAATGCTTAAGCTATTTCAAATGATTTACTTATTTTCTTTGCTCTATTTCTTCCTTCCTTTCTTTCCTTCTTTCCTTTTTCCCTTAAACTTGTTTGGTATCTGGGTAGCCAGACCTGACAGACTAACAGACCTGCGAGACTTTTAACTAATAAGAGCAAAGGTCCACCGGACCACTCTGACGAATAATGAAGAATAGTAAGTAGTAAGATTATACTCTGTTCTTTGGTCTGGATATATGCATGTGGTGCTTTTTAAACACTAGATCTTTCAAAAACTTCCTTTGTAGTTTATCCAGTCTTTCCTCATAAAAGATAGACATTTCAATGCTGCTTCATGATGATCGACAATTTCTAACGATGGATCCATACATGTTGTATGCTTCAGCAATTTTGTTTTCAATATGAAATGAAACTGATTTGCGAATCACTCTAGATCTTAAGTGTTTAAATGACGGTCCAAAATATACCATCAATGTTGTAATCAAATAAGATTGGTGCCTACTTTGCACTTTACTATAGTCAAAGTCACGAAAGATGACTATTACGTCATACCCTAAATTGTACTGAAGTAATCAATGGACATACGTCGATGATAAAATCACGATCTCAGGAACATAATGACAACAAATTTATATTATGATTTTGCGAAGTTAGGTTATTTAACTGATTGTTTTTATTTTCATTTTATTTCATGGTTTTGAGTGATACCTTAATAATAACTTTAGTGGCGAGTTTTTGTCTTGAAAAAAACAGTTATGAGTAGAATACCTTAAGACAGGAACAAGAGAGACAAAAGTATTATTCGATAACAACATAACCTGCTTTAACATAACCTAAATATTCATCTTTCAAATATAATCAATCATGCAACATGAAAACATCGTCTATCTTTGTCGGATACATGAAAATTCGCAATAGAGTTTGTTTAGACAATAAAATTCTGTTTGTCTCTGTCTAGCATATCACAAACTTCATTAAATATATTCACAAATCGCTGTCGTTTGTCTTTACTACAGACTAAAATGATGACGTAATCGTCATCTTTCGTGATTTCGACTATACATTCAGTGACAATCCATTATTAACACATCATAAATAAACTTTGTTGAGCATGACTTGTAACCTATCACAATGTTCTATAGCAATTGTTCCACAATAGACTTTAAGATCGTCAGCCTAAAACAATTTTTGGGTTTCAATTACATTATCCAAATCATTAATGAGCATATTTATATAATAGTGAGCCTAAGTTTGATGCTAGCCGAACACCACACATATGTGTTAGAATTTTACCCATTATACATACTGTGACCTACCGCATAAGTAAGATTTAAAAAGTCATTATATTTTGTTAACCACCCTGTACAAAGAGATAGAGGCTACTAGATTGAGGACAGAATATAAATATACTTCATTTATATTTTGTGAACATAATAAGCTCTTGATGATATAGTTAATTTACTACTTCACCAATTTAACCATATTGTCCGCTATTAATTTTGGATGCCATCATTCAAGATGCTTGTTTCGTTTGTACTATGAATTCAAATAAGTGGGCAATCAGCGATCTCTTTTCTGGCATTTATCTCAATCAGTATTTTAGTCTATATTTTCAGCTGCACTGTAATTCCTGATGGAATAATGACAAAATCAATGTACCAGTTTATGAATAAATACCCTTCGAGGATTCCTATTCCTAAGCTACTTCCAGAAATGAATTGAAACTCTAATAGCGACGGCTATCGGGGTCATAAGGTATAACGAACTCCAAAAATATAATATGTTTTTGAGATGATCTAACAACAAAAAACAAAAAATTCATGTTCGTCTAGAGATATTTACAATGAGTGATCAACAATCAGATGCAATACTTCTAGGGCAGTATGAAGTGAGAAACGTATACGTCACTGTCTTTTGAAACACCACCTCTTACATTTTTAAATAGGTATTCCACTCCACATGGATTATCTTTTTACAAAAACTTTTATCAGACCACTCATTTTGTAGACAAATCGGTTTGAATGTCAATGTTTGAGGTAAAATCCGTAGGTATAAAGAACCTATTTCGAAAATACAGTGACAGGAAATTTGACATTAGCAGTATTAATAGCAATAAGAGGAGTAACGCTATCTGACCGCGCCGTTATTTGAATAATATTCATGGTCTACCCAAATCAGTACTACACACATCAACATGATTTTATGATTTCTTTGGCCATTAATAATAAACCTAGTACCTCCTATAAGTGTATTTGAGACAAGACACCAATGGAATTATCATCAACACAGATTATTAGCACACAAATCCTCACTATGCACCTATGCACTGCCGTTTCCTTCCAGCTATAGTATACAACTAACAGCTTAGATCTCCAGTAATGCCATCTCTGAACCATATGTTACAACATATCAGAGCCAAACATGCGTCATGACGTTTAGGCGACACGTATAGCTACAGGACGAGTGCACGTCAAGTGAACAACAGCTAGTGCTAAGTTGTAATCTTGTAGAAAAACCTACATAATATCACAAAAAAAAACATATCTGAGAAAGGTTGGAAAATTGCAAGTCATATACACGCTAATAGTAATTACAACGCGGGCGCGTTGGTGATTTTCCGTAATTCTCAAAGTTTTTGAAAACACAACAAAAAACGGCAAACATCTTCAGAAAGGACAACACAAATAACCCGTCTGCTACAGTTAATAAATATAATAAAATTCTAGCGCATTTTTTGGGAACTATTTTGTATCAATACTTCTTTAACTTGTGCCCAAGCACAAGTTTCTGCGAAACTTTTTTGGGTCCATTCGTTTATTGTATAATATTGTCTTTCATCTACTACTGCTATACTTTTTCTTTTGCAATAAACTTATTATTATTATACTTGCGCGCCCGCTGAGTCGGAAACTTACTAATTGAACCTGCCCATAAAGACTTTGGATCGAAATTATATAGAAATTCATTATATTAAAATACCAGACCGAAATTTATTTTCCATGTGAAGTATGTATCAAACAAATGTGTAAAAACTGTGAAAATCGGCAGACATCCAGTAGGTGATTCAAATCACATTAGAGTCCAAAAGATGATAGTTTGCGAGATACAGGGTGTCAAAGTAACAATTTAATTTTCTAGTTTTCCATGTTGCTTGAGATTTTGGCATAAAACTCGGTATAGGGAATTCTAGAATGAGAAACCAGGATTTGTTTTTTTATGGCCAAACTTCTAAAGGCAGACAGCACTATTTCATTAAATAACTTATCATAACTTTTTTGTGCTATCCTGTATACAACTGTCCGAAAAAAACTTATTTTCTCGTATTTCCACAACAAAAAAGGTTCACTTATTAGAAGTGTCTAAAGCTAATAGTTTTCGAGATATTTGTTTTTCCAATGCACTATTTGCACCATGATGACAAAACACCTTTATAACATAATAATCAAGTTGCTTTGGATAATATGTGAGTAGCGTTGGTACGATTTTTAATAATAGATAACAAATGAGGATAGCAACAAACCTAATAAATGGAAATAATTTCAAAAATTGTTCAAAATGAGCACCACCTTGCCTAACACCTCTCGAGCTCGACGAACTACTTCTTGCTGCATTCTTTAAAGCATTGATTCCCAAAGTGGTCTATATTGACCCCTAGGGGTCTATAACAACCTGCAAGGGGTCTACGTCAGCGAAAAAAAATTTGGGGGTCCATGAAATGAATATGGGGGTCCACGATAGTGGATCTCAACACATACACTGATAATACCTATTTACTTACATCATACTATCTTATAATATCAAAACATATACATTATTTATAAAAGTACCTATGAAGTGAAAAATGTATTATATAAGATTATAAAATTGTGTAAGTTGTAGGATGTTGGTATTCGCTTTGTGGTCGCAATACATTTTGAACTTGTAAAAACCTGAGAGTCGCAGTCTCAGAGCTTCGCTACCTTGCACTGACTTGTTCATTCGTCACTCTATAAATACGAATGTGGGACAAATACGTTTATTCGTTTCCTGAATCTTGAAAAGGAAAGTGCTAAGAAAATATTTTAAAAAATATAAACAGATAGTATATCACACAAATTATAGTGAGTCAGTGTTATTTTGTTTGAGAGTGCTGGAGAAAAGTAAGTACATTATTTTTTATTAAATTTTAGTTTTGTACTCGCAGTTAGCAAAGATAGATAAATTACGCCAATCATGACTTTAGTTATTAGTAGTTAAATATTCAATCATGCAAAATTACACGAGTACTCCTCAATAGTTTCTTTTTGAAAGTTTTAGCAATCGGTAATATAATTACAGTGCCATCTCCGTAATTCGAGCTAATTGTTGCAAGAAGATGTTCGAATTATGGAATGTTTTCGGAAAAATCAAAAAATATTTTTAATATACAGCTGCGGGATTTTCTGTCTTATTTAAATAATTTAATTTTGCCCACAGATGACTGATGCCATGTCCGAATCTAAAAAGAAATGTAGATAGTACAGTGTTGATTATTTGAAATTTGGCTTCATTCCATCATTGCCGGACAAACAATCGCCTATGTGCCTTTTATGCAACAAAGTTTTGGGCAATGACGCTATGAAACCATCTAAACTGCAAGATCATCTGAGAAGATGCCACCCTGATAAAACAGAGAAAGATTTGAAATACTTTCAAACACTCAAAGATAAATTACAGAAGAGACCTACACTAGACAGAATGTTCGCTTCGACGTCACAAAGAAATGATGATGGTTTGCGGGCATCTTACAATATCTCGTTACTTATAGCAAAATCCGGAAAACCGCATACTATCGGAGAGAAGTTTGCCAGCCGTTGAAGAGGTTTTAAAAACTGTTTTACACAAACCTGCATCTGATATCATTAAAATAATTCCCTTAAGCAACAATACTGTTGAAAGACGTATTGATGAAATGAGTTCTGATATTGAAAGCTTATGTAATTATTTGCAAACGACCGATTTCTCTATACAACTGGACGAGTCAACTTTACCTGATAATGCAGCATTATTATTGGCATATGTTCGTTTTATATGAATCAAGAAATCTACGAAGAACTGCTCTTCGCAAGAACTTTGATAACTGACACTAAAGGTGAATCAATATTTCATGTTTTGAAGGATTACTTCATTGAAAAAGCAATTCCTTTATCAAATATAACATCAGTAGCTACAGATGGAGCACCTGCCATGATTGGGTGTTATCGTGGATTTATAAGCTATTTAAAACAAAATGTGTCAGGGGTGTTAGCAATACATTGCGCCATCCATCGACAACATTTAGTTGCTAAAAATTTGAGTGTTAGATTGCATGAATCACTTCATTTAGTCATTGACGCAGTAAACCGAATCAGAAGCAACGCGTTGAATACGCGGTTATTTGCGCAGTTGTGTGAGGAAAATGATGAACACTTTCATCAATTACTCCTTCACACTGAAGTACGCTGGCTGTCGAAAGGCTTATGTTTGACAAGATTTTTTGCACTTTTTGAGACTATTTTAGAATCCCTGGATACTAAAGATAAAATTTTAAAAGAAAATTTAATGAAGAGGAAAACAGACATCGCCTATTTAACAGATTTGTTTACAAAATTTAATATGGTTAATTTGCAATTACAATGCGACAGTTTAAATTTGATTAAAACAAAATCCATCTTATCAGCGTTTCTTGCCAGAGTTAAACTAATGAAGCAAAATATTGGACGGTTCGAATTTTCTCAGTTCCCCAATTTGTCACAGACAAGCTGCCAGAAAGACGACGTTTCAACTTACGTTCAACATTTAAATGCCCTCTATTCAGATTTTGAATCTAGGTTTGAGGATAGGGGATTCAGCGCTGTTACCAATCTCCTAACGAAAAAAAGAAACAGACTGGACATCATTAGCTGAGGAGATTTAAGATTAACCCTTACAAAATTGACGCCAAATGTTGATAATTTATTATTAAAGCATCAGGTTCATCCTTCTCACTAAACATATTGACTTATTGCTTATGTTATTTTATTTATAGTTTATTTTGTTTATTGGTGTCTGACCAATAAATGCCCGCATTGGGAATAAGTGCCCGCATTGATTTTTTTAAAGAACCCCCTTTATAGAAAATATTTTTTTTAAAATTATTCTGAAAATTCAAGGATAGGTACACACTAAAATTCGTTAATTTTTTGCCTATTTTTAGATAACTTAAACGTATAAGAAGCGGAATTTAATCAAACTAACAGTGAAATTGTTTTAGAACATACGTTTATGTTATAATTAATAAACGAACTCGCTTATTGTACTATTTTAAGTAAAAAACTTTTTTTTTATTATTTTTCACTTTTTTTTATTTTATCTCTCTTATTTTTTTTTCAATGCGGGCACTTATTCCCAATGCGGGCACTTATTGGTCAGACACCTGTTTATTTAATGTTACGTATATTTTATATAACAGGTACAAAATTTTATTTTGAGTAGTTTTAATTTAAATTCAATTAATAAACTTAACATGTGTTTTTAAGACTAAACTTCACTACAGTTAGAAATTTATAGGAAATCAATATCAGGTAAGTAGGGGGTCTACCCAACACGGAAAAACATGGCAAGGGGTCTACGACACAAAAAAGTTTGGGGAACTCTGCTTTAAATCATTTGGATGTTATTTTTCACTTCCCGGCTATGATGGAATATTCATTGTCGAAGATCATCTACAGTTTCCACTGGCGTATTATAAACGTGTCGTTTTAAATCACCCCAGAAGAAGAAATCCATAGGATTTAAATCTGGTGATTCAGCCGGCCACGATACCGGTCCTGATCAGACTATCCACTGGTCAGGATAAACTTTATTTAGGTACTCTCTAACTGATATACTAAATTGTACTTGGTGGCGGGTTAGTATTATTGCATGAGGATTTTCTTCTGCACAAATGTGAAGATTATACGATTTGATGGGCCCATCCCTTCCAAATCCTGCTTCGTCCGAAAATAATATTAACGAAGTAAAACCATTGTCGTGGTTAAACTTCCTTAAGAGCTATGTACAAAATTCTACCCTTGTGGGGTCATCATCCGCGCTTAAGCCATGTACTTTTTGCAGGTGGTATGGATGGAGCAGTTGCTCTTGAAAAATGGTATTTACTGTACATTTGGAGACTTGAAATTCTCGAGCTACATTCCTAACCCAAACTGTAGGATTTTCAAAGACAGCATCTAAAACATTTTCTTCAGCTGTACGTATGTACAATTCTGAGAGCTCCACTATGTCGGCCCATATTTTGAGCAAAACTACCAAAAATTCAAATGGCTTTTGCTACGCAAAATAAGGCTATAATCATTTGTTACCAGTTTCTCGTAACCGCTAATCGATTCGATGGAAAGTCTTTGAATTAGGCAGGTGTCTATTAGGGAATCTGTCAGCCTAGAATATTCATCAAACGTGTACTCCATAAAGGTTCTACGGACCGCCCAGACAAATAAATGACGAATAGTAGATGTTTGACAACATATTGTGAACTTAAAATTATTCATGAAGTTTAAAGCAACATTATGACAAACATTAGAACCAATAGCAACGCTACTCAGATATCCAAAGCAACTTTATTGTTATAAAAATGTTTTATCATCATGGTACAAATAATGCATTGGTACAAATATCTCGAAAACTATTAGCCTTAGGCACTTCGAACAAGTAAACCTTTTTAGTTGTGGAAATATGAGAAAATAAGATTTTTTGTCAGTTGATGTATACAGGATAGCACAAAAAAGTTTTGATAAGTTATTTACCGAAAGAGTGCTGTAACTGGCGCCCTCTAGAAGTTTGGTCATAAAAAACTACGGATTCTTGTTTCTCATACTAGAAAACCTCCCTATACCGAGTTTTATGCCAAAATTTGAAGTGCTTCTCAAGCAATAAGGAAAAATAGAAAATAAAATTGGAACCTGTATCTCGCAAACTATCAACTTTTGGACTGAGGTATGTTTAAGGTCAATTCACATATTTTGGTCTGTTGTATCTCCAGTTTCGAGATTTCCCAGAGTGTTCATGCCTGGATAATAAATTCGAAAAAGGTACGCGCTTGGGACAAACACCAACATGTTTTTATGATTTCGTTGGCTGTTAGTTAAAAACTTAGTAGGTAGTTCCTCTAATGCTGATTTGAATCGCCTACTGGATGTCTGCCGATTTTCCCAGTTTTTACACATTTGTTTGATACATACTTCACATGGAAAATAAATTTCGGTCTGGTATTTTAATATAATGAATTTCTATATAATTTCGATCCAAAGTCTTTATGGGCAGGTTCACTTAGTAAGTATCAATCGTTTCCGACTCAGAGGGCGCGCAAGTTAAAGAAGTATTGATACAAAATAGTTCACAGCCAAATTCGCTAGAATTTTAGTATATTTATTAACTGTACCAGACAGGTTATTTGTGTTGTCCTTTCTGAAGACAGGTTATGTTCAATGTTATAAATTGCGATTTTTGCCGTTTTTTGTTGTGTTTTCAAAAACTTTGAGGAGAATTACGGGAAATCACGCGCGTGTGTAATTACTATTAGCATGTATGTGACTTGCAATTCGACAGTGTATAGTAAATATAATTGCAACCTGTGGCAATATGTAAGTATAAAATATAAGATTCCACATAAAGTTAATCACTTCACTAACCAGGGATTTTCTTTTCTTACCTGTCATTTTTTAAACTTTGCATATTTAATTTCCAGTATGAATAAAAGTGGATGTGCAACTAATTTCTCGCTTTGAACACATCTCATGTAAGTGTATTTGAGACAAGAAACCAACGGAATTATCATCCATACAGATTATTAGCACACAAATCCTCACTATGCACCTATGCACTGCCGTTTCTTTCCAGCTATAGTATACGAGGAGGTACCCAGCGCAACTCATCACCAGTTCAGTGCCACCTGAGTTCTCGATCTGGCTTGTTTCGTTCCTCTGTAATTATTTTTGCTAGAGCTGTTTCGTGCTTGTTTCGTTTTTTACGATGACAAGCTTCAGTGAGCAACGTGCAGCTGTGAAAGTTTGCTTTCTAATTGATAAAAATGCTTCTGAAACTGTTTTAATGTTGAAAACAGTTTACAAAGAAGATGCTATGGGTAAAACCCAGGTGTACGAGTGGTTTTCTCGATTTAAAAACAGCGATGTCGATTTATGATCAAACCTCGCTCTGGACGTCCATCACCTGCCCGAATCGACGAAAATATTGAAAAATTTCGAGAGCTTGTGCTATTTGGAGGTTTTAAGGTAATTGCGAAACAGTGTTTGGCAAAAAAAGACCTGATTTTGGCAATCAGGAGACTGCTTCTTCCACCACGATAATGGACCTGCGCACACAAGCCATCTCTGTTCGACAGTCTCTGGCTAAAAATGGCATAGCTTCGCTGCTTCACGCACCTTCGCCTAACCTGGCTCCATGCGACTTTTCTTATTTCCACGGATGAAAAGGGGCATGAAAGGACACCGCTTTGACGGCTTTGAAGAGGTCAAGAAATAAACGAGGGAGGAGCTGTCAGGCATTTCTATGGAAGACTTCAAAAAATGTTTCGAGCAGTGGAAGCACCGGTGGGACAAGTGTATTAGTTGTAGTGGACGGTATTTTGAAGGAGATAAGGTTACTTTGTGAAAAAGTTGAGAATAAATAGCTTTTAAAAAATAATTCTTTTTTTTTGAAACCCCCCTCGTACAAATTACAGCTTAGACCACAAATTCCACCTCTGAAGCAGATGTTAATCACACCAGAGCCACACAGCATCATGACGTTTAGGCAACGCGTACAGCTACAAAACGAGTTCACAACAAGTGTACAACAGCTAGCTCTAAGTTGCCATCTTGTAGAAAAACCTACGTTATTTCATAAAAAACAATAAAAAGGAACAAAAACGACAAAACTTTTCACTTTTCAAGATACGTAATGGTTATCAGACAGGCGAATCTTCAATTATTAACAAATTCAGCTACTTCCGTTATTCTGTTCCGTAGCTCAGCTAAATTTTCGATTGGCTTTGAGCAAACTTTTTCTTTCACCGCTCCCCAGTAAAATAAATTTATTGGACTTATGTCAGGTGAACGGGCTGGCCACTAAATTCTACCAGACTGCCCTATCCCTCCGCTCGGCATCTTGCTGGTACCACATGTCTCTGTAATTGCTTCAAATGCATGTATTCCAATAAATTTGGTAAATGATTTTGTAAATGGTCTAAATAAATTTGACCATTCAAGAACTGTGGCAGCTCAAAGGTACACCTGTTTATTTTAAAACGATAGTGTGATCTATCTTGTCTCATCAAATGTTGATTTTCTACATTGCACTCGTGTAGGTTGTGCGGATTCATGTAACCATCTTTTTTAAAAGTCTCATCACTCCATAAAATTTTCCCTCAATATTGCGTAGGTATCTTCCGGCAGAGAATCATGTAAAAAACCTGAGAGACGTCAAAAAAAAAACGATGAAATGTCATCTTGCAGACTAGGTAGTTATTAGTGAGCAAATAGTTCATTCCAGGTTTGCTCGCTATGATCGCTGTTCGCTGCCGTTTGAGCAACACGTACAGCTACAAAACGAATTCACAACAAGTGTACAACAGATAGTGCTAAGTTAACATCTTGTAGAAAAACCTACGTTATGTCTCAAAAAACCTACAAAATGTCAAAAAACCGACAAAATGTCCCTCTCAAGATACGTAACACCCGTGCCGGTGTGCCTGTAACATTGCTCAAACTCAATTCTTGGACGATAATTCCGGGCTGGTAGAGATTGTACTCGTTGTACGTGGTACGGGTGGAGCTCGTTCTTTCATAAGATTCGATGGGCTGTACTTTTGGACCGTGCTTGCTTCTATTTGACGTATTGAAGTATTTGGGTCTTCTTCGACTGCTTATAGTATAACGTACTCGTAAGGAAAGGAAATTATTCCTTCATCATGTGCTTGATTTGGGAATCGTCCCTCTGAGAGTAAACGGTGCACACTCACAAAAACTCGATAGTTAGGATGACGAGCACCATTTGGGTACCTCTCACGATAAATCCTAGCTGCATCTGCATTCCCCATATATGAGGTGCATGTAGGCGTATTCCACAGACATGGTGGCGCTACACATTCATTAAAAAAAGTGGCCTTACTATCTGCCTTGCTGTCACTACGTAGAATGCTACTAATTTGTAGTAATGGGAACTTAGATATCATCACAGGGTGCAGATTTGTTCCGATTTTTTTTAAATCCTATAAGTTGAAAAGTACACGACTTATATTTTTTGTATCTTTCTGAAAACTATGATGACTTGGCCTATCTCCCGTTTCTGGCTTGACGTCAACTTCTGGGACAGCCTGTATGATCCATTCCTTTATGGATTGTACACCCTGACACTCGGCAGCCGGAGAATAACATACAACAATTTTAGCCAATTTCATCGCGAAATGTTTTCCATGTGTACGAAAAATCAAATTCTAAGTATCAATAGATTATTTATACACTGACGTATTTCGCAAAAGCTTTCCTTTGAGTTTGCTACGCTTACGCACACTGGAACTCCAACCTTCTACCAATACACGCTTTTGGTCGAAATGGTATAGAATAGACGATGTCATTCTACAATACCAGCCGGTTTGACAGGAATTTATTTTCCATGACGATTGTAATCATTTGATACAAGCGCGAATCCAAGGCGAGACTAATTCGGCCACTTCGGGGTTAGGGCCATATCGTCAGTCATTCCTACAATATTGTAGGACGCCTTTTCTCTCCTTCAGAAAGGTTAGATTTCTACTGGTCCGTGTCACCGCTTCCTTATTCTGACGCTAGGCTTTCTTTTTGAGTTAGGAAATTTCAGGCTGATATAACCGATGATATAAATCAAAAGCATGAACAATTTGATGCAAATAGATATTTGTAGCATAACCTCAAATTATAGCGCTGAAACGGAACAGTAGAAAACTATGAAAATCAAGGCCTCATAAAGGCGTCCTACAATTTTAGGAACGACTGACGATACGGCCCTAAGTGCAAGAACAGATGTGTATCACATAAGTGGTGCTCATCTGAACTTCGCCTTCCGCCAAACTCTCTTTTTTAATATAAATGTAAAATTTTATTTGTTGATGTTTGGCGAATAAAGACGTTTATTCTATTATTACTAATATTTATGACTTTCGCATCTCTTTGATAAATTCAATAAAATTCAGACTTTTGCAAATATGTAATGGACACACACGGGTAAAAAATCACCACACCTGGCAACCCTGATCAGCAATGATGACGTGGAAATAAGATGTTTGCGTAAGTATGGAAGCCTATACGTACAGCTTGACGCAAATATAAATAAAATAGTGATTCTTCGTTTTTTTGGCTTTATATCACTGCATGACCGATAGTGCATCATTGTAAATTGAGTCTCAAGTGCTCTGTAGTTAAGATAGTTAATTGAAAATTCAGATGTTGGGACAAGAATATAAATAAAATCTTTTCGCGCGCGCCTTTGACGCTGTGAACAGATTTGATAAAAATACTGTTTGACGGATATACTCAGAGAAAAGCGGTTCCATTTGATTGAAAGGGGATGGTAAGTAGTAAGCAGCATAGTCATCTAACCCTAAGAGTGTTCAACTATCACTCTCTTCATCTAGCAATTCACGGGAAGGAAAGAAGTAGCCACTCTTTTAGACGTCGATATTAGATGTCCAAGAATTGCATCAAGGCAAACAAAGGGGCAAATAACGAACCTGCTCAGACACCGACTCCTTCTAGACAATGTAATCACTGATCTTCGGGCGTGACGATCCTCAGAGCCACTTAATTTATTAAGTTAGGTGTATTTATTCCGAGGGACGCTTATACTAGTGAAGATCTAGAAACCGTTAAGCAATTCGCAATCGAGTACCAATCGCTCCTGGACAGTAATACGCCAACTTCAATAATTTTTGATGAATATCAGCTGTGGATTTATATATTACCAGTTAGCGACAGCAGAGATGTCCTTTTCTACGCTCAGGAGGCTCAAGACGGTGGTTGCGAGCATTTATGACAGAATATATCCTAACTGGACTGGCACTTTTATATGTACATGAAGATGTATATGTCGATACGGAACAAGTCATAAATCGATTTGGAAGAAGACAACAAAGAAAAATCAGTTTCGTTATTTAACAATAAATACTTTTTTAAAATTAGATTTATTGTTTAAATCACATTTAGGATACACCATAAACGAATATCTTCCTGAACATCCTGTGCCCTGAGTTTCTAATCTATAGCCAAAGAAATCATAAAATCAAGTTGGTGTCTGTCGTAAGCGCATATCTTTCTCGAATTTATTAAGCTTGAATACTCCATAACTCAAAACCGTACATTTTAGGGCTGCAGTGCAATGGTAATTCTTGATGAAATTGGTACGGAGAACAACATACAACCATTCCAGCCAATTATAAACTCATTTGTTACAAGCAATATGCCGTATTCGTTGTTTTGAGTTACTTACCTGATTTCTTAGAGTTGGATTTATTTCTATATTTTCTAGGGTAGATGTTTATCTTGCTATGGCCACAGCCCATCGCTGACGTCCTGGGACAGTCGCCTCAGTACACCTTCGATGTGATCTTCTCATCAAGTCACATGTTATGTTAGTTGCATTTCGAGACATTTCATCCGTTGGACACTACTCGGTTCGTATTCAGTGGACGTTTTCGGCGAGCTGCTGCAATCGTCATTTCTGAAACAATAATATACTATATTCAGAATAGTCCTGGGTCCTATGTACAACGAAATGCTTGTTCCAGAGCAACATGGTAATAGTGCCACAGGTTCCTATGAAAAATAATACAAACCTCTGAAGCATACAAAATAAGATGTCTTACAAATATCGTGACAGGATCCTATTTTCAGTACATATACTACTCCCTAAGGTTTGTCCGTACAGTGGCTGGTGACAGTGTGTAGGATCCGGGCGTGTGAATTCCATCTATTATAGAGTAGCAGAGTGAATGGAATTTGGGTAGCGGGATCTTGGACGCCGTCACTGACAGCTGGGCGACTGCTGTACGCACAACTCTGATTTATAGCGACACAGATACGCATACGCTTGTGTTGGAAATGATTGAGTTTCAAGGCGAACTGTACGGGAAAGTCAATAATATGTGAAATATGTCAAACATACTGAGTGACAAAAAAAGGTAAACACCGTGTTTATCGGATTTTAATAATTTTTGGCATATATTTTCAGTATCCCTTACTAATAGAATGATTAAATTTTCAGCTTGATTCGTCCGCTGACTGCAGAAGCTGGTTCAATAATGTGTTGAGGATCCACGATTTCTTATACACTCATTGACACGACTGGGCATCGTGCTGATAAGGTGGTCGATATCCTGTTGGGGTATCTCATTCCAGGCTACTGCAACTTCGTAAGTAAGAGCTGCTCAAGTCTATGGAGGGTGAGCCTGCTACCTATCATGTCCCACACATGTTCAATTTTAGATAGGTCAGGCGATCGTAGTGGCCAAGGTAAACGGTTGATGCGATATTGATCCATGAAGGATAACAATGCTCTGGCAACATGCAGTCTGGCACTGTCTTGCTGAAAAATCGGATTTTGGATGGTGTTTAGGTATGGAATAAGATTAGGCTCGACTACTTCCTGAATATAGCGTCAGGCTGTCATATTGCGTCTGATGAAAATTGGTGATCTGCTGCCATAAGCAATAGCACCATACCATAACTCCCGGTGTGGTGAACGTCACGCTCTCTGTCAAATTGTAGGTCACGTTTTTCACCATGTCGCCTTCTCACTCTTACCCGACCATCGTACATCCCAGACAGAAGTGGGATTCGTCACTAAAGACCACCTAATTACGTATACATTCGCGGTCCCATAGAATTCTTTCTCTACACCAGAGCAAACGGTTACGCCGATGTTCAGCCGTGAGAGGTAGCACTCAATGTGGGCGATAAGAAAAAAGGCCAAACTGTCGTATTCGGCGATATGCCGTCCGCATACCCACCATCCTTCCATGCTCTTCAAACCACTGATTTAGCAATGGCTCGAGTGCTACTGAATCTGTCTCTCAGAGCCATAAGTCTTAACCGGCGGTCTTGTCGCTCTGTGGTCCCTCTGGGACGTTCAGAACCCCTCGCTCGCTGTCCTCTAGGCACTTTGAGCAGTCACGAAACGGCTTCTCAATAAGCTACACGAAATTTAACATTTAACTGATACTGTAAATGTACGAAAACTGAATGCTTCTTTACACCACCACAAAAACTTAACAGAAAAACCTGACCATTTTATCACTTGTTGTTCATGGCAAGATAAATCGATATGTAAAAAATTCTTGAATTTTTATAAACATACGTAGGTGTTTACCTTTTTTTGTCACTCAGTATATGTGTGTAGAATTACTGGGGTTGGAAACGTATAGATATACTCCAAATAATTGAGTCATACTGACCCCACCTGCTCTAACCCCTAACCTCCTATTTTATCTTCTACAAGAATTTTTCGAAAATGACCAGAAGTCACTGAAAAAAATGGCGTCATGTAAGTTGACTCTGTACTTCCCACACAACACTGCCATCAGTTCGTAAATGATTATGCTTGGTACAAGTTAGCCCTTCTGAGAAAAAAGTTAGCTACGCACATGTATAACGAAACATTAAATGACCCTTCCCTCCAACTGCGGGCTCACGTGATCGTTGCAATGACTAATCCCGCGTGGATGACGATACTGACTTTTACGGCAAACAGTCCACAACAGCAGGGAAGCGACTGCCTATTTCGACCTACGACCATCAGTCGGACCGCGGCACACGTATCGACACGCGATTATCTATGGCGAGAGAAATATGTCACATCTAGGGTCATTCTCCAAGGTGACTCACCCCTATAACTTTTTTATTATTGAAGATGAACAACGAATTTTGGAGATTGCGTATTATAGGTGAATTTACACTTTTTGAAATATTCACTTGTACGTCAAAGTACTTCCGGTTTGACCGGAAACGACTCCAATCTTCGATTTTTAAATGGGACACCCTATATATTTCTACTTATTTAGATCAAGAATGACCTTCTGAAGTCAATAACGCCTCACTGGTCAATATTTGACAAATAAAGTCATTTTTATTTCAATTTTTATTTTTCGATCTAGAATGCCATGGATCCTGTAAGTCGCTTCATTTTTGAGCAAGTAACACGGAAAAAATACGATTTTGAAGCGAACGACCTTACAGTCGTTTTAAAGATTTTCTAAAACCTACAAACACTATTTTTGTCTGTTTACTTGATTTTTTCAAATAGAAAGGGCTGGCTCGTCGGAATGATTTGACACTAAGCACTCTTCTTTTATTTTCACCATTTTTCTGAATAGTTGTAAGAAACGATCATACCTAACAACAAATAATACGTGTCTGCATTCGCGGTATATCTATGCACTAAGAACTATTATTCTAGTTATCCGTGAAGGAGTTGCTAGGGTTACTTCAACAAATACCTAATCTAGATTATTAAGAATACTGTCAGTTTTAAAAATATATTTGTTACGTAGTTAATTTACAATGAAAAACTAGACTAGAAACTAGAAAATTGACATGCTGTTGATTTAGGTAGAAGCAAGAAAAAATGAAACTGAGGCAGCTCGAATTTATTCTCGGAGATTCTCCAATCGTCGCCAACCCATTCTGCATTATTTTCCAAAAATGAACCAAAAGAAAATGCCAATAACTTTATCGTCAGTGAATAAAAAGAAATAGATGTGTTGGCCTATATTGAAATAAATTCTACAGCGTCAGTTCAGCAAGTTATTTCAGAATCTGACATGTTATTCATCCGTTTGGAGAATTCTTCACAAATATAATTATCGATTATTCAAGTACCAATTACACCAACATGTTTACGTTGGCGACCACAATCGAAGATTAACTTATTGCAACTGTTTTTTGACTAAATAGGTACAGGAAAGATGAACGTCTTCCGTTTAGAATTATTTATTATCAGACGAAAGTCGGCTTAGCAACTTGGGTATGATCAATCGGAATAATAAATGGTACTTATTACAAACAAACTTACGTCTAATGCAAGAAGAAAATTTTCAAGAGCGATTTTGTTTCAATTGCTGGATGGGTATTATCGGAAAAAACTTTTGGGGCCAATAATTTTCGATGGACAACTTACTGCGGAAAGGAATCTACTGTTCCTAGATAATGAAATGAATGGTTTCATTGAAGATTGGCTAACCAAGTTGATATCTATTCTCAACAAGATGGGGCTTACAAATCTCATGCGGTGCAAGCAATTGATAAAATTTAACTTTGTCGTGATCAAGGAGTAGGCCATTTTGAACAGTTGGAACCTTAATGGCACATATTTTAATTTATTTTTTTCTGTATTAATAATGATAGGATAGATTGGGGAATCTCTGAGAATAAATTCGAGCTGCCTCAGTTGCATTTTCCCTTGCTTTCCCGTAAATCAACACCATGTCAATTTTCTCGTTTCTAGTATAGTTTTCCATTGTAAATTCACTACGTAATAAATAAATTTTTAAAATTGACAGTATTTTTAATAACCTAGACTAGGTATTTGTTGGAGCAACCCTAGCAACACCTTCAATTGTTTGTTACGGATAACTAGAATAATAGGACTTAGTGCATAGGTATACCGAATACAGATACGTTTTATTTGTTGTTAGGCGTGATCGTTTCTTACAATTATTCAGGAAAATAGTGAAAATAAAATATGAATGTCTGGTGTCAAATTATTCGTAAGAAATGGGCCTCTCAGAGCGCCACCCCCTCTCTATTTGAAGAAATCAAGTAAACTGACAAAATTGATGTTTGTAATCTTTAAAACTACTGTAAGGTCGTTCACCTCAAAATCGTGTTTTTCCCATGTTACTTGATCAAAAATGAAGCGATTTGCAGGATCTATGGCATTCTAGATCGATAATTAAAAATTGGAATAAAAATCACTTTATTCCTCAAATATTGACGAGTGAGGCGTTTTTGAGTTCAAAATGTCATTCTCGATAGAAATAAGTAAAAATATATAGGATGTCCCATTTAAAAATCGAAGGTTAGAGTCGTTTTCGGTCAAACCGTAAGTACTTCAAAGCAAGTGAATCTGTCAAAACATATAAATTTATCTATAATAGCCAACCCCCAAATTTCGTTTTTCTACCTTCAGTTTATAGCTTAGACCCCCAATAATGCCATTTCTGAAGCAGATGTTACATCATATCAGACGGAGGTACCACTCGGCGGATCTCGTAGGCGGGGCTAGAATGTGTGCATGTTGCATGCAGACGTGTTCCCTCGCCAGAGTCCGTGTGGCGTTCCCCCTTTCCCCTGTATCCCCCTATAGCCCCACGGGTGTTTAGGCCTTCATGGTAGTTGGAGTATAAAAAAAGTGTAAAAACCAATTACTAACAGTTTTGTCTAATCCTACTACAAAAGTGAAATACTAAATTCCAAGTCTAGGGTGAGTCACTAAGGTCACGTGTGAACTTAGATTGAATGCCGGGCATTATTAAGTACCTATGAGAGTATACACAAATCGAGGTCACGCGATGTAAGTCGTGTGGCGTTCCCCCTTTTCCCTGTACCCCCTACAGCCCCACGATACCCCATGGGTGTTTAAGCCTCAGGCCTTCGTGATAGTTGGAGTATAAAAAAATATAAAAAATAATAAAAATGTTATAGGGGTGAGCCAGCTTGCAGAAT